TATGATCTTGAATTTCTTGAACACTTCTGATTTTAACAAGTGAATTTCATGTTAAACTCTGAGTTTTGTTTTGGTAAGTTATCCTATGGCTTTTTTTTGCCAGAACCTTCCTCTTAAAAATTAAAAAGTATTTCAAACACACAGAAAATCTTAAAAATATTTTTAAACCTACAAGTTCCTACCACTCAGTTTAATTATACTTTAACACACAGCCACGTTTGTTCCACATTTCTAAGCAAATAAACCATCACAGATATAGCTGAAGTCCTCTGTGTACACCTTGCCTTTCCTGTTCCTCTTCTGTGCTCACCAAACCTAGTCATTATCCTGAATTTAGTTTTACATAGTTGTTAAATATATATGTATCCATAAGCAATAAATGGTATTGTTTTTCATGTTTCTGAACTATACGTAAAGGGAACATTTTACATACCATTTTGTAACCTACTCTTTCCCTTCATCACTGGTCTAGGTGCATCTTTTTTTCTTTGTTTTAAGATTGGCACCTGAGTTAACATCTGCTGCCAATCTTATTTTTCCCCTCTTCTTCTCCCCAAAGCTCCCCCAGTTCTGGTTCTGGTTCTGGTTCTGGCTGTGCTACCACCATGTAGCACATGGTGGGATGTGTACAACCACGCTGGGATGCTGCCTCAGCATGGCTTGATGAGTGGTGCCATGTCCGCGCCCAGGATCCGAACTGGTGAAACCCTGGGCCGCCAAAGCAGAGTGTGCGAACTTTACCACTCAGCCACGGGGCCGGCCCCTAGGTGCATCCTTTTTGTTCTTTCATTTTTAACAGTTTCAAAGTATTTCGTTGTATTAACATACAACAAATTATTTATCCATACAACAAATTATTTATCCATTCTTCTGCTGATGGACATTTAAGTCATTCCAACTGTTTACTATTATAGCACTGCAATAAACATTATGGTATGTCTCCTTATAGACATCTGCATAAATTTCTCTAGGTACAAAGATGAAACTGCTGCCTTGACACATATGCTCACATTTTATTTTACTTAATACTGGCAAATTGTTCCCCAAGTAATTCTACCGATCTATGTGCCCGTCATGTACAAGAATTTACATTATGCCACAACCTTGCCAATACTTGGTTTGTTGAGACTTATAAATTTTGCCAGTATGGTATCAAATTTTGGGTTTAATTTCATTTCCCTGATTATTGGTGAGAACAAGTATCTTATGTTTATTAGCCATTTAGATTTCCTCTTCATTTAAGCTGCCTATTAAAACCCTTTGCCTACTTCCCTATTTCCCCACAATGGGATTGCTTTTAAGAACTAATTTGCAAAAGTTCTTTACCTGTTTTAAGCACTAATCTTTTGTCATTTACAGAAGATGCAAATGTCTTTTCCCAGTTTGTGGCCTGTATTTGTATTTTCACTTTCTATGGGGTCGTTTAACTTTAAGCTGGCAAATTTACCAGCTTTTTCCCTTAAAACTTTTATTTTTGGTGTGTCTAAAGAGATCTGGAATAAAGATATTTTCCAATGTTTTTGTTTCTAAAGGTCTTCTTTTCCAAAAAGGAGTTTTATTTCCGTAATTTAGCTTCTTAAACCATTCATAATTAATTTTTGTTTATGATATAAGGTTTGAATCAAATTTTATAATTTTCCCTGAGTGGCTAATTGTCCCAGAATCATTTATCGAATAGTTCCTCCATTCCTTCTCTGATTTGTTTCTGCCATGTTTCCAAACAGACTTGAGTCTGTTTCTCGACTTTCTATTCTGTTCCATTAGTTGCTCTGTCTTCCCTTATACCAATACCATACTGTCTCAATTACCATAGCTTTAGATGAGGCAAATCTTGAGACTGTATTCTTTATTTTCACATCTATTTTTGCTGTGCTTGTTCCTATAGCCTTTCCACATTGTGGCAGGTTGCAAAATATGGCCCCCAATTCCTCCCATCCTAGTATGTATACCCCTTTGCAATGTAAACTTTGCTGCTGTGGGGACCTGGAATTGGCCACCCCAAGATATGTCTCTTTGGCATCAGGATTATTTGAGGCTGATTGCTTTTGATAAACTGGGACAGGGAAGGAGGCTCTGAGGAATGGAACTTGCCCTTCCTTAGGACACATTTACATTTGTAAGGTAAATCTCTATCTGTAAAAGGTGCCTCCCTCTCTGTACCAGGAAGAAGAAAGGCGATGACCTACTCTCCAAAAACTCTTAATCAATACCAAAGGCAATGACTTAAATCTGCATTTTATTGTGCTAGTCTGGTAACCTCCTGTAACTGACTTCCCTCCCCCTCCCAACTTTGGCATTCCTTAAGGATTAAGCATCTTTCCTTAGGCTAGGAACCGATTGCTGCTGCGCTCACCTGTGACCGCCCAGCTCCAGACAATCGACTAGCCTCCTGCTACGCCCATCAAGATAGCAGACCATTACCTGCTGTGTCCATCAAGCACTGTACCGACAGGGCAATCTTGTGACTATTGTGGGAGGGACATTTCAATCATATGTGAAACACCCCGTTTGGGGGCTATATAACCACTCTGTGCACCCCACTTCTTCGGTGCCCTTTCTTCCTTCGGGAAGAAAGGCCCCGGGCCATGGTTCCTCATAAAGCTTTGTTTAATTTTCTCTTGCTATTCTGTCTCATGTGAATTTAATTCGTTCTCCAGCTAGAAGAACCCCCATTTGGGGAGAGGAAATGTCCTCCTCCCCTACACTGCTTTTCCATCAGGAGGTGGAGTTTCTTTCCCACCCCTTGAATTTGGCTGGCCTTGTAACTTGTTTTGACCAACACAAAGTAGAAGAAGGACTGTACGCAACTTCTTGAAGCTAGACTTTGACAAGCGATTTTCACATACTGAGGTATATGGCATGACTATTTGGGTTCAAAACTGGTTTGGCTTGAATTAACAAGCTTGACTTATGGCCTATCAAACATTGCAGATCTGCTGAACCATTAAAGTAAAGAATGAACTCTCTTAAGATAAGAATGCAGACTCCCCATCCTATACCCAGACATTAAGGTCACATTGACCTGCTAATTTGAAACTACATACCTCTTTGAAACTTTAATGACAATGGATCCTGGGTGTGTTTAATATATGTTCTTTGTTCCAAAAAGATATAAGATTGTACTGAAAACCATGCTTCTCTGGAAGGCTTTCTAAGGCCTTCCAGGGTTATAATCCTCATTCGGGCTCAAGTAAAACTCATCTTATTTCTTCTATCTATAGGATGGCTATTGGTTATTTTGCGTCAACAGCTTTAAGAAGCCCTGCCCTATTGGAATGCTGCACTGAGATCACCATGTAAGAAAGCTCTACTAGTCTACTGGAATAGGAGAGGCCATTTGGCAGAGAACTGAGGTACCCCAAAACATAACTAGCACCAACTACCAGATATGTGAGGGAGCCCAGGATGGACCCTCCAGTCTAGCAGACTTAGCTGAAAGCCAATATAGAGCAAATCTGAGTAAAATCAGCAGAGAAACTGCCCAGCCAAATGACAGAATTGTGAGAAAATAATAAATTGCTACTGTTGTAAACCACTAAGTTGTGGGGTGGTTTGAGCAAATGCTCACTGAAAATATTAATTTACACCATAAACTAAAAAGAAAAAATTTAGGATTTTGATTGAAATTGTATTAAATTTTTAAAATTGATATTGAGAATTTGACACCTTTAACATACTGACTTTCTATATGTGAACATGAGTGATATTTCCACTATTCAGCTCTTCTTTCACGTAGTTTTCCATTCCTTTATTCTCAAATTACCTGTGTAGTCATGATTTAGATGTATCTCTTTAAGCAGCATATAACTGGATGCTATCTTTTTTCCCAATCTGATAACCTTTTCTGTTTTTAAACTTGACTTTTCTTTTTCCTCTCCAAAGTCCCAGTATACAGTTGTATATCCCAGCTGTAGGTTATTCTAGTTCTTCTATGTAGGGTGCCACAACAGCATGGCTTGATGAGCGGTGTGCAGCTCTGAGCCCAGGAACCGAACTGGTGAATCCCGGGCTGCTGAAGTAAAGCATGCAAACTTCACCACTTGGCACGGGGCCGGCCACTCTATCTTTTAACTGGTGAGGTTACTATGTTTATTTATTGTTATTAGTCATACACAATATTTGGAGTTATTTCTACTATTTTACATCTTTTTCCTCCTTATAATTTTTTTTTGCTTAATTTGTCTCCTTCTCTGCTATGGATTATATATCTATTTTTAAGTGCTTAACCATATGTTTTAAATAACTAGAAAATTTTCTAATGAATTCTAGTAAATACTTAAGTATTCAGTAATTCTAAAGATGACACAGATTTTATTGTAGCATATTATTCCTAATCTAATTATTCCTGTTTAGAATTTTAGTTTTAAACATAATAAAGTTATGTTTTACAGTCAATACTTCATTTAAATTACTTAAATATGTTTCTTAATTTACTGAAATATTAATATTATCTTGGTAATTTTGGGGTTCACTATTATTTTTGGTATACATTGCTTTTTCTTTGGCTTTTTTTTTTGTAGAAGTACATGTTTTAATACTTCTTTTATTGAGGCTCTGAGAGTAGTAAGCCCTTGTGGTCTTTGGGTTTCTGGAAATGTCTTTTTATTGCTTCTGTTATTGAATCATATTTTAGGTGGGAATAAAATCTGAAGTTAATTATTTTCCCTCATCAATTTGTATATTGTCTTCTGGCATCTATTGTCCTGATGAGAAGTCAGCTTGATGTTTTTTGTTTTTGTGTATTTTGGGGTTCTTTTCATAGGAAATCTGACTTTTCTACACAGTACCTTTTATGATTTTTCTCTTTAAACTTGATATTGTATAGTTTTACTATAGTATGACTAGGTGTGAACTTGAATTTACTTTTCTTTATTTTCTGAGTATTTTGCATGTGCTTTTCAACTGAGAACTCTAATAATTCTCTGATTCTGGAAAATCCCTATCATTTTAAAAATTTTGCTTCTCTGCCATTCTGTTTTATACTCCTAGAAATACTTTTTATTGCTTCTTGGCCTTTTGGCTAAGATCAAGTGTAGTATCTGTTCTCATCAGTTCAATACCTGATACGTCCTCCATCTGAGGATAATATATTAAACGGATTTTTGGAGCAGGCAGATGGAATAGGTGCCTGCTACATGCACTCACGCATCGGTGGTATTGCAGTACCTCCAGGAATGGCACACCAAAAAAACAGAAACCCTTTTAGAAGTTGGATAGTCTCTTAAACTATCCTCTATATCTCACGACATCTCTTTCCTAATTGTTAACCCTTTGCCTTTGTGACAAGTTCTTGGTTTACTCCTTAGGACTAACTCCCAATTTATTGTCTTCTTCAGTTGCATCTAATGTAGAATATATTTTATCAAATTTTTCATTTAAAGATTATGTTTTTCATTTCCAAGATTACTGATTGGTTTTCACATCCAACTATAACTGTATCATCTCTGCCTGTTTCCACTTTGTAAGTTCTTGCTATTTTTTAGTGAAAGTTATTCCTTCATGTATCTGTTTAAGGAAACTCAAATAAATATTTTAACATTTTTGTCAGATTTTTTCTAAAAAATTAACAACAAACTAAATGATTAGATGTTTCACCTGATGATTTTGCTAGTTTCCTTTTCCAGGATTAGATTGTTTTTTTCCCATTCACTTTGCGTTTTGGTCTCTAGGTTCATCTTGAGGGGTCTTTTATTTTTGTCCCATATACCTCTGTAATGACCTTTCCACATCTGCATAACTACAAGATTCATAATGCAAGTTTGGGGGTTCTGTTCTGGTGCTGTTGGGGACACTGCAGGTCTAGCAATTGATCTGGTAGGTAGTGTGGTTCAATGTCTAATGTTAAGGCTATGTCTTTGTCTTTCAGCTTTCTTAGGCCTAGAGCTTTCTATAATGTCACAGACTCACCCCGTGATTCTGTAACAGCATTTCCAGTCTCCTTTTATTGGGGAACTGGAGAGCCTAACCCCAGTTCTGCATTTAAGCAATGAGCCTTGTTTCAGCCCCCATCTCACACACAGCACTACTAACTCCTTTTACACTGGAGGGGCCACACTTCTGATCACTGCTTCCTACTTCTGAACTTGGAGATCATTAGACCTATATTTTCAGCCTTAGGCACAATTTTATTTTCTGTCCTGTTTCTGATTCAATGAAATACTTATCTTATATTTGAAGCTAGACTATGTTTGTGGTTTCTTCTTTTTATATTTTATCTATCATTATTATACATTTGGAGCGGAGGGGATGAACCATGACTGCTCTGGGCCATCTTCATCAGAAGTTCTCAACTATTTAAAATCAAGGTACATTATACATATAACATGAGGAAAGAAAAATAGGTAGACAAATATCTAGGAGGATATCTTAAACATATGTCTTATAATGAAAGAAAAATAGTTTGTACTGAATATGTTAGGCCTATTTAATTATAGAAAGAGGTCTTGAGGAAAAAAATTGCCCTAAAATATTAAAATTAATCTGCACAATGGTTTCATAGGTCTGTTTACTTATTAAAAAATTTATAAAGTTGCACTCTTAAGATTTGTGCAGTTTACTGTATGATGTTATACTTTGCTATAAAGGTTTACCAAGAAAGATACAGAGGTCAACATGGAGAGGCTCTACATATAAGCCAAAGGTTAGGGATAATTGCACATGAAAAAGAATATTATATGCAATTTACTAAAACACATTAAATATATAAGAAGCTCACTCTGACACTCAAACAAAGAAGACATGTCCCTGGGCACTGCAGGAAATAGTGTAACAATATCATGTTCTGAGTCTCCCCAGTTTAAATGAAACAAATAAGCATTTATCCTTTATTTTCTATATAAAATGTATTTCATGGTATCCAGGTAACCACAGAGACGTAGTTGATAAGGTTTCTTTGCAGAAGAATTCCAGCTAATAAATGCAGAAGGAATAACAGATTTAGAAAAACTAGTTTTGTGACCTTTTATTAGTCAGGCAATGATTATCAATGGTTAAAACTATTAAATGGAAGACTGATGGGAAGTTTTGTCACGAAGGAATGAGGCTGTCACAAACCTATACACATGAATCAATCTTAGCATCACTAAAAACAGGAAAACTACACATTGTGTGCCTCATCATGTAATGCAAAATGAAGCACACAATGCTGCCTGTGAAGTATTTTATCGAAGTGACTCTGATTCTGTAACAAACAGTGAGATGAAATAAAAAGAGAAGCCTTGTCTAGATATTAAAAGACATATGTACATAACAACCAAACACAATGTGTGGACCTTGATTTGAACAAACTATTAGAAAAAGTTCTTTTTGAGACAAATTGGTAAATACTGTTACAGACTGAGTAGTAAATGATGCCAGGAATTATTGTTAATTTTTGTATGTGTGATAATATATTGTACTTATTTAAGAAAATATGGACTTTTTTGAGAAAGGGAGGAGTAAATTAAAATGATGGCAGTAATTTGCTTTAGCAAAAACAATAAGAAAGAGACAAAGGAACGGCTCTAAATCTTGAAACCTTTGAATATACAGATTCATTATACTATTCTCTCCCTTTCTTTATTTGTTTGAAATGTTTAATAAAAGAAAATATTTAAAATGATTTTAAAAAGCCTTGAAGACTAAAGGATATTTAAATTTTCTCTAGGGAATTACCTTCTCCGTCTAGAGCTACTGTCCAATATGGTAACCACTCCGCCACATGGGGCTACTGAGCACATGAAGTGTTGCTAGTCTGAATTGAGATGTGTTGTAAACATAGAACATATGCTGGATTTCAAGGACTTTTTACAAGGAAAAGGAATGTAAAATATATCATAATTTTAAAATATCACATGTTTAAGAAACAATATTTTGTATATACTAGGTTCAATAAAATATAATATTAAAATTAATTTCATCTGCTTCTTTTACTTTTTTAAATGCAACTATTAGAAAATATAAAATTTCACATATTGCTTGAAATACGTTGAGGAAAGGAAAGCATGCTAGGAGAAGTTACATTCCAGCCAGAAATACGAACAGGTTTCTCAGCAGTTTTTGAAAGCTGGAGAAGGACTGGAACAGCTGATGGAACTTAGTACATAATCCCAGCACACTGAGTTTTTTCTATACAGTATCACTTAAAGTCAGAAAGTCTCATAGAAGAAAGACTTCCAAATGAGGAAATGGCAGCCAGTTCTCACCCTCCTGCTATATTTGGGGAGCATGAGAAGATAGCATTCAACTGGCAAAACTATTAAAGAGCACAGTCAACTAAGAATTAAAAATCCTTTAAACTGGTAGAAACATAGTTAAGACACTCAAAGTTGTTAATACTATGAGGATATCAAACAGTTTTAAAAGCTTTGTTTGCTGTAGTCATTTAAATTCTTAAGAAAAATCATTTTTGGTGAACTCGTTTTATATCATATTAGTTCGCCTATGCCAAATCATTTTAGAGATGTACAGTTAGAGAAAACTATATTACTAAGCACTCTTACAGTGCTCCCGTTTTTAAAACAATCTACTTGATAATGACTATATAAGCATATTCACATCAGGTGCTCAGTTTTTAAAAATAAAAACTATCAGAAATGAATGTCTTAATCTGAATAGTTTAAGGGCTTTTTTTCGGGGGGGGGGGCGGTGTTTGGGGTTGGATTTTCCACTGTTGGGCTCGTTCCACAGCTCACGTTCGTTCAGGGAGGATGCGTCTGCAGCTCCTAATTGCCAGGTGTGATGAGCACATTCTCCTAATGAAACCTTAAATGTCTAAACGTCTAATTTCTTCACTCTTAACTTCCATTTCCTGATGGGCTCTATGAGGAAGGAATTGAAATATGAATAGTATAAGAACCATGTGCCATATGGGCGGACCCTAGCCCGGCATGAAGCAGCTGAACTCAACTGGCAAGCATAAGTGGCTATTTGACTCTGCCAGGTCATATATGTGTTTCATAAGCCTGATTGGCCGAGGCAGAAGACCAGTAGTTTTGCCTTGTGTGTGTGGCGGCATCAGCAGTGAAGGAGGGAGCTGGGAGCTCTCCAGTTTGCCAGGGCAATCATCTCGCAGCCTCGGGTGAGATTGAACATGCAAACTGAACAGGAGCTTGATTTAGGATTTTCCAGTAGGAAGTTTTACAACTGCTGTTTAACAAATAATAAATCAATTATGGTAGTGAGGAAATTTTAGAGGGCCACGTTCAGGATCTAAAAATCAATATACATACATGTTCTTCCTAAGTAGGTCTGGAGGGTTTGAGATATTGACTGGTTTGGGGAACTACAGCCTTGATTAAACATTTCACTGGTTTATTTCAGTCTAGGGCGGTAGAGATTGAAAAACTCAAAACCAATTAAATTGTAGAGTGACAGTGGAATTCAAATATAATTCAAGTCCAAAGTTCTCCTATTGAAATAATCCTTTTGTTGAAAAATATGATTAAAAGGAATTAAATAGATTATTTCACTTATAGATTTTGCCAAGTGCAACAGTGAGAGGCCTACAAAGACTTCTTTTCTGATAAACATTTCTGGAAACTGCAGGTAGGAAAGTCAGGAAATGTGCTTTTAAAACAGTTCACATGAATGAGGAGCCAGAGAAGAAAAATTCTGTTGAATTTTAAATCACTTGTGTAGGCCTGGCTTTTTTACTTAAAGTTGTAAGTATATGATATAACAATGTTCCTAAATATATTTACCTGTAAATATTTTAGTTTTTTTTTTTTTTTTTTAAAGATTTTATTTTTTCCTTTTTCTCCCCAACGCCCCCCGGTACATAGTTGTGTATTCTTCGTTGTGGGTTCTTCTAGTTGTGGCATATGGGACGCTGCCTCAGCGTGGTCTGATGAGCAGTGCCATGTCTGCACCCAGGATTCGAACCAACGAAACACTGGGCCGCCTGGAGCGGAGTGCGCAAACTTAACCACTGGGCCACGGGGCCAGCCCCTAAATATTTTAGTTTTTAACAAAATATCTTTTATGAATGCCAAATGAAAAATGAAAGAATTCTGCTTTATTGGATAAAAGTAGAGAACTTTATATTAAAATATACCTTTGTTTCTAATTTAAAAATATTGCGTAATAAAATCTAATCCAAATCATGTTAAGAAAAACAAACAATACACACATACACATAGGTTTTCAGAGACACTCATAACAAACGTTTACTCCGTTAATTGCTTTAAAAAGAAACACGGGGTGGGGGGC